ATAAAGCTTTGCCAGTTGCCTTTGATCTAAAGCAGACACAATTTAAAGAAAAAAAATGTCAAATCTGCTTAAAAATAGTATTGAAGTTTCTTCCTGAAGATTTAACACTTGAGGTGTCACAAGTTATATTAGCAGAGCCGAAGGATTTGTTCTGGTTATATACAGTGAGTTTTTACTTTTACTTTTTTTCGTTTAAATATCTATTGCTTGTGTTGAATGAGGAGAATGAGAATTCCTACTGTGTCAGACTCTAGGAAGAATCTTTGGGAAATGGCATTCATTTGTGTCTGGCATTTCAGTGATGTTACGTGTGTTTTTATACCGAGTACACTGACAGGAGACACTTTCTAGTGCCTTCTAAGGCCAGCAAAGTTTGAGGAAGATAAGAGGTGTATGCTGAACCACAGCAAGATTAGAAGACAAATAATTACAGTTACTTGATGGATTGAACCAGGCAGCAGCTCAGTAGCATGAGCTGGATTCAAGTGGTTACAAATGAAATCTTTTTTCTTCCTGCCTTCCCCCCAAAGGAAGCTGACAGACTCCTTAAACTCTTCAGACCAGCCTAGAGTGTTGAGCAAGTGGTTTATCCCAAAGCAGCAGTTTGTTTTCTTATCAGAAATTGTGCCTGACCTTGGATCAGCTCTGCTGGTGGTAGACTGGAGAAAGAGCCAGAAAGCAGTTTTGGCTTTTGATGTTCTTCCAAGTTGCTTTTGTATCACCTTTTTCAGGGTTATGTTTGTGTAAGCACAAAGAATTAAAGAAACTTTATCTGGTGTTGCATGGCTCTGCATCGCTGCTGGTGAGCTCTGAGGGGTGGTGGTGGTGGAAGTAATCACATCAAAGCTGGTTTTGTTCTGAATTTGTGACAGAAGTTCCATTGTGCTGCAGCTACAATGCTGATACAATCGCTGAGAATGGTAAATGTATTGTCAGTGAGTGTTAATCTCTGACAGGAATTGGCAAAAAGAGGCAACATTTATTTCAAAAGCTTGAATTTAGTTAGTGGGATGAAAGAGGGAAGGAATGAGCAATGTTGTTCTTCAGGATGGAAGCTTGGTAAGCAATGACAGTATTAAAGGTGTGTGTTAAGGCCTAGCAAACACTGACAGTTCTCTCAAAACATTCTGAGGACAGCAGAGAACTCCTTGAGTCAGCAAAGAGTTTCCATGGGACTCAACTCACTGCTCATAGTGACTTTCTGGACACAGTTTGCCACTTTCTGCATTGGAGGGCAATGACTATATGACAGTGCTCATTGTCACCAGCACAGTGCTGTAAGAAGTCTGTTTAGCAATATTGTGTTGCAGTTTAAGGTTAATAATTCCTGGCTGTCTGAGGTTCAAGAAACAACTAGTATGACATTTATAGGAAGAGAAGTTTGTGTGGGCAAACAAGAGTAGCTCTTGATAAATTGCATCTCATATTACATCTCAAAACATTCAGTTTCGGGTCTAGAGGAGAGTTTGGTGTTTCCTTTGATAGAGCCTTGTGGCAGTTAATTCTTATTGATAGGCATTTCTTTGTAGAAAAAAAGGAAAATCAAACTTGTTGTGTTCTTTCAGCATTCAGAAGTCAGAAATGTGTCCAGGTCTCTTATGTATACAATCTGAAGACTTTTTAACTGAGGATTTTCAGTTTTATTTTGCACATTTACTTTCCCACTTGGCTTTAAAAAGATGAGAATCTCTTCTGTAACATGTATCACTGTCTACCAAGGTGCTGCCTCTTAAATTTTGCTGTATTTTAAAGACTAATCTCCTACAGGCTTGCAGTTAACTTTCTTGGATGCCTGTATGTTTAAAGTCATTGCATAAACAAAGATTAAGTGGTTATAATTTTCAAAAATAAAAGGCAGTGGCTGGAGATTGCTGCTGCCAGATTTGCCGGACACACTTAAATGGCTGCAAGCAAAGAGCCCTGAACAAGTTTAGTGTTAGACAAAAGCTGGAAACAGCTTCTTATTTAGAGTAAAGATCACTGCACTGAACATGAAAACTCCTCTTCTTTGGAGGTTGGTTGGGGAATGAGAATTAAACCTTTTGATTTATTTGGGTCATCCAGTTTACATTTCCAGAGTTCACTCTTCAAGAGGTTCCTATCAGTATTTACTGCAGTGACATTTGTTCAGCACAATTGGGTGTTGGCTCTGAGCTGAGATGTGCCTCTCACATAGGAAACTGAACTGGAACAAAGTTCTGGTCACAAGGTCAGAACCGCATACGTTCTATTTAGCTAAAACAACTTCCATGCTGTCACACATACTTTTTGAATCTTGGGATACTGTCACCAAAGGAAGTCGATGTGTTTCCACAATTGGTATTTTTTCATAGCCTACAGGCGTTTCTCCTGTAAGACTTCTTGGCATCTAGGTTTTCTTGGACACTGGAAAAAAGCATATTAATCTCAAAGGTTGCTAAATATGTGTCTTTCCCCCCCTCCCCACCATACCTTGCCTTCCCCTTGGAAAGTTTCCTTAAAACAATCAGTTTTTGCCACTAGTGGCTTGATAATCCCGCTTAGCTCAAGAGCCAGTGCTCCAGAGCCAGCTGGTGGATCCATATTTGCTGTCTTTAAACTCTTAAATTGGAATGTGGATTTCACTCCAGATGCATTCTCTCCTTTTCCCAAGCTTGTCTGTACTTTAAGTCAAAGTTTAGAGCCATTTCTCATTGTGCCTCTACCACTAGGGTAGTAGTATTCCCATACAAGTCTGGGACATTGTGTGCTACGTCTAGAGCTACCTTTGTCAAAGGAACCCACGAAGGGGAATAACAGCTGTGCAAGATCCATTTGTCTCTGCAGCCCCTGATACCAGTTTTCTTATGTCTTTTTGAAAGTATGTCTAAACTATTGTTTCCTTATACCTGTACTTAAAACAAAATCATGTTTTGTTTCTTTTTTTTTTTTTTTTTTGTAGTCTCTTGTAAGCTACTAGAAGAAAACCTCACTTGCTATTCAGAACTTTGCTACTGATCAGTCTTGTCATAGCACGGAATAAGTGTTTTAAAAAGATTTAGATGGTGTTCTGGCTTACTAGGCTTGTAGTAACTGTGGTAAGCCTCACTGGTTTGGTTCTTTAGATTCCTCCTGTGTCTGGCTTTTCTTGGCCACTTGATGTGTCTAGCTGGTTTCTAGCTGTCGTGATGGAATATGAATGTGAAAGTCAGTTGCAAAGACAGAAAGAAGTAGATGAAATCTGAGGCTGCAGCTCTAGAAGATTCCCAGGGTGAAGGCAAAACTCTGGGATTGTGTGGGTGAACTGGGAAAGAAGGTGGAAAATTTGGGAGTGAGGAAAGCTGCCTGCCTTCCTCTTTCTGTAAGTTTGATAGTGCAGACTTCCTGCTCAGCATGCAGATGCTTCTGCATGGTTTTTGGACTGAAACTGAGCTCAGGCTGTTCTAGAACTTGTTTTGTATGAGCACAAGTCTCTCATCAAGGTACAAGATGTGTTTAGGTACTTCAGCAAGGATCGAGGGCAGGTCAGACTGTTCACTCTGTCCTACCCTCTGTCACTTATTTCCTGGTGCTCATCTATCTGTGTTAGTCTAATTAAGAAGTTCATTTGATTACAGCATGAATCATACCAGGCTCTGTACAGACCAAGTAGCTCTGTAACACTCCCACAGTGGAACCGGAAGAACGAGGGGTTTGGTTTAGGACACATTAATTGCAGCTCTGCACTGCATCCTGCAAACACTGCTTTAAATTCTGCTGTGGTGTGCCCTCAGCTCTTGCTTGTCTGCATAGAAGTACATGTGATCTAGCCCATCTACTGAGCTCATTCTAGATCTGCCCTGACTTCAACTGTTTCTATTGTATCTCATGTAAATGCTCTATTTAATGATGAAATTAGCTGAGTCTGTTGTACTATTTAACCTTATTCTGAAAGCTGGGAAGGAAATGTGTGTTCTTGGCATATCAGTGTCTCAATTAAAATGTCTCAATACAGTGTTTGAAAATAAGTGTAAAAAAGTTAAAGATATACTATCAATTGTCAAACCTGTAGGTGTCAGACTTCCAATAACAAGCTAAGGTCTTGTAAATAAAGTGTGTGTAGGTAGGTGATTTGTGCTCTTATATTGAGTGAGTTTGTTCTTTCAAATATTTATCTGCTTAGACCAGTAGCTAAGATACTTAACTTGTCTGGATGCTAAACCTGGAGAAACTCTTACCTTGGAAGAAGTGTGTTTTGATAGCTAGTAACAAGCTTCTTGTCCTTCTTGGAATAGAAGCACCTTCTCTTCTCATGAGTTTTTTCTCTCCTACACAGCTATTGTTTGTTTTTAAGGATTTGTTTTCATTTTTAAGATGTGAATTCAGAATTTTATTCTTTCCCACACTCTCGAATCCTTGAACAGGTGCTACACCACTATTAGAAACTCCTGTTGCCTTCCTGCTTTCTCTTCTACTTCCTATGTGGTTCACTGGAATTTATTAACAGTAGGAGAACTAGAAACCTAAACCAGCTTTGTGTACTTCGGTATTCCATGTAGTTGTGGAGAGTTTTTCAACAAAAGAGGAAGTGTGTGTGTGCATGTTTATAGAGACAGGATGTGAAAGTAATAGCAATTGGATACATATGAGAGGGAGCAGGGGGTAAAACCTAACATCTGTTAGGGTTTGGAGCTGTTTTATTAATTTAATGACCTGTATTCAATTTCACTATAGCTATGTAAAATTTCGGTTACTTTACAAATTCTAGTGGGTATGAGAAACATTAAACCTCCATTAAACTGAATAAACATAGCCCAAAGCTACTTTTTTCCCCCCTCAAAAATCAGGGAAATACCTGGGGTAGGGCTTTAAATTGGAAACTAAGTAATTTGGTCATAGCTACTTGGTAATCAGCAAAGATTGAACATCTTACCATTGTGGGAGTTAAGATGTATTTTCTATTCTGTGATCAGGGGAATGTGGGGAGAAGGACCATTGCTTGTCCTGTTGAGTTTACTTTTTAAAAAACAGGAGTTTTGTTCTTTTTTTTTTTTTTTGCAGCCACTGATCTCCTATTGGCTTGGAATCCCATTTGTCTGGGCCTGGTAGAGGGAGTCATTGGTAAAGTTCAGCTTCATACAGGTATGTTTGAGGTTTCTTTGGTGTGGGTTTTGTGTTTTGTTTGCTGCTAATGCACTATGTTTCGAAGTCTGTGATATTACCAGTAATACTGTGTGGCTCAAATGGAAGCATGTAGAATTCTTTACAACAGAAACAGAGGAGTAATCCCAACAGTGTCAACTTGTCAAAGTGATTTTATTATAGCTGCAGATACAAATTCCCCTCTATTTTCCAGTGTATGTATTTTGGTTTGACACTGTCTTGTAAAAATAGAGAACTGCACTTACAAATAGTAGAAACTTCAAATAGTTTGAAGCTCTATCTGAGGCTCTGTATGAGATTTACAAAGTTCTTAAACCCTTTTGAATAATCCTTTCAAGCAGTTTTTTTGTTGTTTTGTCCTATGGTACAGCGCAAAAACAAATGATAGAAGCTTTCATAAAAGTCTGAGGCTTGAATTCTCAGTGCTGTAGAATAGACTACTTTGGTAAATGAATACTTGAAAGCAAAATGAACACTTAAACTTGTTTGTAGTTCAATGACAGAGGTATAAAATTAAAGTAGGTGTCGAATGCATTGTTATTTTAATGATAAGCTTGTTTTCCTGCAAAATAATGTCAGTGCTCCTTTTGCTTGATCAGCAGCAAATCCCTGTAGCCATAATAAATACTCATTTTGATAAATACCGGCTTTGTTCAGAAAGATCCTATTGCCAGGATGGTAGGAAAGCTAGCCATAAACATTTGCTGCATGCCATTCGTTTTGTGAGTGTTTAGACACTGCATTTAAAGTAGTGCCTGGCAATATGATCAATACAGGTAAAGTTTCAAGTGTGTTCCAGAAGAGCAGGATGGGTTAAGTGCTGCAATGGATCAGATGTTTGTGGTTTGTTGAATAGAAACAGATTAGTCAAGGTGACAGTGGCACACTGGCAAAGTGGAGGAAGGAGAGCAGGGACTGGTACAGCTCTTTGTGAGTGTTTGACACATTGGTTGTGGGAATTGCATGGCTCCACAGTTACTCTGAGCCCTAGGTCCCATTTCTGAGAGTCATAGCTCAGAGCCCATCTCTTCAGAAAGCTTCTGACTCTATTCTTTTTCCAGTTGCATCACTTCATCTTCTTTGAATTTCGCCTGATATTTTCGCCTGTGCTCATCCTACAGAACTCTTTGGCCACCCTTTTTCAGATCTGATGATGTGAAGGGGTTCAGGCTCTGCCATCTCACTTTCTCTTCTCTTCATCCAGGTTGTCTGTGCTGTTAGGCATGTGCTGTTCATGATGAGTGATGGCTAAACTCCAGTAATGACCTCTTTCTGCTATGGGAAAATGCTCAGTGGTTGGTTTTGAAATGTGTTTTGTGTGTTTGTGGGGTGTGGTGTTTTGTTTTTGTTTCAAACCAAGCACTTAGGTACACAAAAGCCTTCCCTCAACATTCTCTCGAGGGAGTTGGGTTTAGAAGCCCTTGAAAGGGGGAGAACTCAAGTGCTTTCTTGGAAGGTTTTTAGGACTTGATGGCAACCAAATACCCTTGATGTGTTCTTATTGTGAGGTGCTTCCTCTGCTTATGAAATGTGAGTTGAAACTTTCCCCAGCGTGTGACACTTCAACAGGTGTCAGTTTGCTGTTATCAAGTAAATTAAGATTATCAGGTAATAAGCCTGATATCTTGTCTTCTTTCCATGTGTCCTGCAGAGCTACTGAATCAATTATGCTTGTCCAGGCATTCCATTCAGTTGCTGCTTAGGCCAGTGGAAGCTTTTTGTTTCATCTCTGCCTTGTTCAGATGACACCATCACAAACTGTTCATAGACTATCCTTCCTGTAGATATTCTGGTATTTAGTGATGCAACTGTCCTGTAAATGGCATTTGCTTTCTGCTATTAAATGTCTGAAGAAAGCCTCTGGCTATTTATCCTTACCCTTCTGCTGAGAGTTACTGTTCCCTGGAATTTGCTGACATTTCCTGATGAGTGTCCTCCATCAGGCTGCAGTCACAAGGAGAGAGCTGACTGAGATGTCTCATATAGGTCTCTTGAAACCTGTTATTGTCAATGAACTCCTACTTGATCATATTGAGCTGTAGTTTGATGTTATCCTCTAGCTGAATCATATAGCAGTCTGTAACAGTAACCTGTCTTCATTACTTATTCTTGTATCAATCTTTGTCACCTGGAAACTTTATCAGCAGAAGTTGTATAAATATTTAACATTGCTGGACCATTATCTCCAGACTTGGAGTCCTGTGCTGCAGAAGCTGGGTGAAATGTTTTTTTTTTTCACAGAGCTGACCTGGAACAGGAGGACTTCTCGCTCTGATTTCTTCTCCCTTGCCCCCAGGTTATAAGAAAACTTAATTTGAAGCTCATTTGGTTGACTGGAGTCCTGTATGGGCTTGTGCTGTTCAGAACCTTGTTATTAGCTACTGTTGGAAAGAAATACTGATGTGTTTTAAAAATGCTTAGTAAATACTGACTAATGCTGAAAAGTTTAAATGCCTTTTTAAGTGTTGAAGTTGCTACCAGTAAAGCTGTCACTAAGCCTATATGTACATCAATGTCTTGTGCATAGTTCCTCATGTGTTCTTGAGAGATTTGTTTAATGCAAGAATGCTGGAGCAGTCTAAAGTGACCTTGACATGTCCCTGTAATCAGTCTTGGGCTGTCTGTAATTTAGCATTGAAATACTCTTGCCAATTTGCTGTAACTAGGGATTTAATGTACTCTTAATCTTGCTGGTTTTATTGCTGGCCTAGTAGAGGAGAATTTATAGCAAAGCTGCTGTGACAGGGGAGCAGTCTCATAGAAACCAGCAAGTCAATTTTACATGGTTTGTTTTTTAATTCTTTGAAGTTTTTTTTTTACGTGACAGGGTCAGTTGTACATCTGGACGTAACTCTAGACTCACATTGGAGATGAAAGTCTATTTAAAGTATCATTTGGTTCTTCCCCAAACAATTTCCTTAAAGATCCCAGAGAGGGGAACTCGAACCCAAACAGTAAAATCTTGATTGAGTATCAGAATGTAAGGATGTGATCGATTACCATTTTCTGGCCCATGCCAAGGTAGCTTGTAAGAAAATGTAGAGTAACAGTGGGAATAGAAGGAAAAGGGTTTTAGGATGTTTTGTGGAGGTGTTGCTGAAAGAGAATCACAGAATCCATCAGGTTGGAAAAGACCTCTAAGATCATCCAGTCCAACCTATGACCTAACACCACCATGTCAACCAGACCATGGCACTAAGTGCCATGTCCAGTCTCTCCTTAAACACCTCCAGGGATGATGACTCCACCACCTCCCTGGGCAGCACATTCCAGTGTCTAATCACCCTTTCTTTGAAGAAATTCTTCCTAGTGTCTAACCTAAACCTCCCCTAGCACAGCTCTAGACTATGTCCTCTTGTCCTGTCATTAGTTGCCTGGGAGAAGAGACTGACCCCACCTGGATATAACCTCCTATCAGGGAGTGATAAGGTTATCCCTGAACCTCCTCGTCTCCAGGCTGAACACTAGCAGTTCCCTCAGCCTCTCCTCACAGAACTTGTGTTCTAGACCCTTCACCAACTCTGTTGCCCTTCTCTGGACACGTTCCAGCTCCTCAGTGTCTTGTTTTCTTGATAAGATGAACAATTAAAGCTGTTTTTGCCTGATCTTCCCATATAGAGGCAAGCACATCTCCACCAGAAAGGGTCTCCTCTATAGAATATTAATTTTGTTTTGTGGCCCAGTCAGCGTGCTTGTGTACAAAATTTAATTGTAGCCATTCAATTTCTTTCTAGTTCTGTATTGGTTTCAGTGAAAGGAGGTTGTATTATTTTTTTTGTTAGCATAAAAAGCAGATCCACTGAAATGGTAATGGTTGCCTGAAACTGAGTCACTTCTGACCAGAGATGTCTCAGCAAGTTGATCAAACACTGTAGTGCTAGAATATGGTCAGAGTTATACTGTATATATAACTATAACCAAAGCTGAATTTCTTATCCAATTCCAACAACACCCACTTAACTCATTCCTTGCCACCACATGTTGTTCTGTTTCTTGGTCAGAGCACCCTCCTTTGCAGTTTAGTGCCTGTCCTTTTATCCACTTGGTGTGTTCTTCCAGTGCTGGTTAATTAAGACCCAGGTTTAAATGCTGCTGGCAAAGTTCCATAGGCTCTGCAAACAGAAGGGGAGTGGCGTTCTTCCTTCCCTATCCCCAGGAAAGGAAAGCTTTTTTTGTTAGCATGCCTCAGTCTTGAGAGAAACAACGAGCTGGTCAGCATCTGAAACCTCTTCAGTAACTGCTGCTGTTTCTACCTTCATACAGCCACCAGCTCAAAGCCTTCTTTTTGCATGCAGCCAGCTTTTGATTCATTCAGATAACAAAAAGTATGAAAATGGTAGCACATAATTTCTTGGCTAAAATCAAAGGACTTGCAAAAAGCAGCACTCGTGTACAGTTAAAGAAAAGTTACTGCACTAGCATTTGGGAGGAAACTAAATGCTAGAGTGTTTGGGAAGTGTTAGAGGAAGACAGCAACGTTGTGCTGACAGTGTTGAAACAACAGAAGAGCTAAGTTTCCATTTCAGTGAGGAATGGGAGGCAATAGCTTCCTTAGATGTGCTGCTTTAAATTAGTTGTTGCCATATGCTCTGCCATAGTTCATAAACCACTAAAAATGAACATTAGACCCTAAGAGATGTTTAGAATGTGCACAATCCTCTAATGGCACACAGCTCGAGTGTTCTGTACACACCATGCCTCACACGTTGAGCAGACCATAACTAATCCTCTGTGGAACTGCCTTTTTTTTTTTTTTCTTACTGCAGAAGCACATACTGTGTTTAGGGATTCAGTTATTTCGATATTGCTGGCAATTATAATATGCTGCTTTTATGGCTATTGTTGAAGCTTTTGCTTCAGGGCATACTTTATCTGCATAATTGCTTCCTGACTGTTTGCTTTTGATCTGCTGGGGAATTCCTGTTTTCTTTCAGTGTCCTGTGGCTCTGGCTGTAATACAAAGAGATTTGAAATGTGCACCAAGATGACATTTGAGTGCATTTTGGAAAATGACAAAGGGATACAGAACTGCTTGGCTGTATTAAGCTCCTGTTTACTGCTACCAGGGTTTGTTAACTTGAGGTAAAGTGAAGACTAGACAGATTATGTTCTTTTCCAGTTTTCACTGAGGCATATCTGCTTAGAAATGCCTTTACCATATCCTTATTTCCAGTTGAACCCTACTGATGAATTCACTGGAGCTCTAGGTGGGTATCCTTTCTCAAGAGTATCTGTTTTTTTGTTGGCATACACTGTGATCCCCTCAGAGCAGTAAATTGTGTGGCTAACCTTCTGTAGGTGGGAATAGATGAGATTATAGAACTACCCAACAGGAATTATCTGCCTGGATGTCCTTCTGTAAAGCTTGGATTGCCCTGGGTTTCCAGAGACTTATTTTTGCCTGCTAGAAAGCAATGCAGAAAAGGGTTGACCTTCTTTTTAGATGAAGTGATAGGCATCTCCATCTGTTGCTGGTGTCTCTGACAGCATTTCAATTTCTTCTTTTTAAAAGGATTTTCTTACCTATTCATTGGTCTTCTCATTATGCATAGAATCTGTCCTGTTTTCTTCAGCTTTCTTTTTGTTTCCACTGTCCATCTAGCAGCCACAGGGGTAATGCTGGAGGCAAAGGCAAGTGTTCTCCAGGTCATGTTGCCTGTACTTGTACAGAAAAGCTGTTCCAGCACCTGCCTGTCAGTGAGGATAACTCTTGGTGGCATTTGCTGTCACTCTCTTGTCCTTATTTGTTATCCTTTGGCTATTTTTTAGGAGACTGTACTTGGGTGACAGCTTGGAGTAACCTGGCCCAGCCTCAGAGCTGACTCTGCTCGAGCCAGGGTGACATCCTGAGATCTCTTGTGACCTGACTTGGTCTCTGACCCTGTGGGGATCATGATTCTGGTGCTGAGTTCAGGAGTAGTGCAAGGCTGCCTTTTCAAGTTCATGTGCATTAAACTGATGCTTGTCTTCATTCCCCTTCCCCTCCTCCCATTTTGGGAGCAGCCTCTGGTTCTCACAAGGCATTTGTAATTTTGAGGATCTGAAGTTTTTAAAAGCTTTTTAGTACCTAACATAAGCACATCTCTTGTCTTATGTACTACTTGACAGTAGTACAGGGTCCAAGTAAGGAGTGGAGTGCACGGTTGGCTATTTGCAATGACTTCCTTTCCTCTGGGTGAAAGGAACTGTTGGTTTTCTGTGTTTTTCTCAACACTCATAGGACAAAATGCTGTTTCAAATTTACTGAGCAAGGAGACCAGACTTTGTATTTGCTGTAAAGCTGCTAAATAGACTTTTCAAAGGCTGTGTATTGTATGCCAAGACAGAATACATGACACAATCTGCCACCACAAGTGTGGAAACGTATTTAAGTCTACCCTAGCAGGTTTTTTTGTGTCTTTGTGACCTTTTCGCTTGAAGTCAGTTGGTTGCTTCTCAGCTGGCAGAAGTAGCAAGTGTGTGTGTGCTTTCTTAAGGCCTTCTGTGCTTTTTTTCTATCTCTTTCCATCACTTTTGACTCCTGCAACCCCAGCACACTACCAGCATGCTGCTGCTCTAACCAGGAGATTAACATCTGGGAATGTCCAGGCACTCTCAGCAGTCAGTGGGAATGTTTATTGCTCTGTTTCCTGGCTCATTAAAGTGTTCATGCTATAACTGCAAATGTTGTAGGTTGAATGTGTGTATGGAATACACCTCTTACTAATACCTTTATCAATTTTTCTCATCCATTTCTACACCACTTACAATTCCTGAAGGATATGCATACGAAGCTTTAAACATATGGAAGCTGCTTAGTGATGCAGTCCATGTTTGCTCAGCAGATTTCTTAACTCTTGGCTCTTGTAGTCACATGTCACCTGTGTCTGTCTTGTTTGCTGTTTGATTCATAACAGAAGGTACAAAGGGAAAAATCTCCAGTTGTTCTTTTCAAATTGTGCTGCTTTTAGTGGGAATCAGCATCATCCTAGAGATTGTTACAGATAAAACAGGGGTAGGTGTATGAAATAGTTAATCTCCTTATTACATTGGAGGCTGAATAAGATGTTTTCTAGAGTTTTTATTTTATTGCAATGCATAGTCATGAAACATAAGCCACAGTGAATCATCATTCACTGGAGTCCTCTAGTCAAATGGTTCCTGGCATGGGTTTAACACTGGGGAGAAGTTTCTGGCAAACTAATCAAAGTGAATGCCTGACAAGACAAATAAAAGCATCTACTAATATATTTTTTTGCCCCCAGATTTACCATGGTGGCTGCTTTTGATTCGTCAGAAAGCATTGATTGGTAAACTTCCAGGAGATCATGAGGTTTGCAAAATAACAAAGATTGCAGTGATTCCACTTTCTGAAACAGAACCTCAGGACCTTGAATTGGAGGTATGACTGACTCCCCTCAGTGAATTCTGACTTTTCCCTTCTGATTCAGTGAAACTTAAATGAGAAGTACAAGTTAAATGCCTCTGATTTTTTTTTTTTTTGTGTGATATAAACAGACATATTGAACACTTTATCCTTTTTTAAATGCTGTTTTTTGATTAGAAGTTTTAACTTTTTAAGAGAAATCACAAGTTCTGCCAGGGAGGAAAATTACAATAAAATTATACCTGAATTTCATAAAGATCATTGAGAATACCACAAAAGAAGAAAACTTCACTGAATCAGGAGATAATATTTTTTAAATGAATGCTCTTGCTTTCATCCCATATTGGAATCTTTATTCTATGACTTAACTTGAACGGAAATCCGTACTTAAAATGTTGCAGATTTTTTTCCCTAAAGAGAATTGATAAAGGAAAAACAATACAAGTGAATAATTCTAAATTGCACTGTAATTTGGGTGGGAAGTTGAGGTGGGTCTGGATAAACTCCTGTCAAATTGAGGCAGACATTCTCAATCACAGGAGAAAATGGCTTTATAAAAAAGAGTGAGGATTAGGCTATAGATGGAAACTTGCGTGTTCCCCCTGTGTTTCAGAGTGTCTGTTTCAGTGTTTGTGGGCATTGCAGTGTTGCTGTTGTAGGCTTATAACATTTCTTTGAAGTTTTGGAAGAGTATTTAAATATTGGCTTTAATTCACTGTCATTATTTAGCTTTGTAAAAAACACCATTTTGGGATAAACAAGCCAGAGAAGATCACACAGTCCCCAGATGACACAAAATTTCTGCTGAAGACTTTTACTCAAATTAAATCAAATGTGTCAGCTCCTAACAAAAAGAAGGTAAAGTTTTCTACTGTTTTTCCTTGGGTTTTTTTCCCCCAAAAAAGTGTAGTTTAGAATTCAGAAGTTGTGATAGATGATCAAATGGAGTACTAAGACCTTAAAAAGAACTAGTGAAAACTGCAGAATGTGCAGCTACTCTGTTTTGATGCTCAGTTTGATGTTTTGATTATTTAACAGTGGCTCTTGGATGGTTTCTCATTTTGTAATTACGTAATTTTGGCAGAATTACTAACAGAGCTCCTTCTTACCAGGATTAGCTTCTAGTGAGATTTTAAGCTTTTACAAATTGCTCTAATACGGAATTGGCGACACAATTTGGTGCCCAATTACTCAGAGAACACTATACATCTCATCCAAATGCTTTGAACATAATAATTGGGAAATCCAAACAATATTTATGAAGATTAGAAAGGGTAGATGCAATATTTCTTAACCTCTTGATTGAAATGTACTACTTGAATGTAAGCTCCCGAAGTTTCCAGATCTGTCTGTTTTGAATGTCCTGCTAAAAGTAATAACATGACATTTCTGAGGATGCTATCCCTAGTGTTTATTTGTGCTAGGAATTTTAAGATCCTGGTCATTCTTGGGAAAGTGTTTGTCTCTCAAGGTTAGCAGTTGTGGCTACAGTCTTTTTCACTCAGAGAAAGGCATAAGAAAGCCATTTTTTATTTCTTCTTTCAGATTAAAGAAAGCAAAGAGAAAGAGAAGCTGGAGAAGAGATTATTGGAGGAGTTGTTCAAAATGTTCATGGATTCAGACTCCTTTTACTACAGCCTGACCTATGACCTCACAAATTCTGTGCAGAGGCAAAGTGCATGCGAGAAAACTAACTTACCTCTGTGGCGAAAAGTAAGAGGTTTTTGTTTGTTTCTTCCTTTTGGGAGATGTGCTGCTCAGTAATGTACATGATCCCAACTTGACTGGTCGCATTCTTCGCTGACGTAGTCTACAGCAGCTTAACTTCTTAAGTTCTTGCCCAGCTTCAGTGCAAGGAAACAAAAGTCTCCAGCAGCATGACTTGAACTATTGTATTCAAAAGCATTGAGCACTAGACTTGTGTGTCCAGTTGTAGTGAGTAACACTGGTCTCTTCACCAAAGATGTTGCCAAACCTTTCTGGTGGTATTTCAAAACCTGCCCTTTTCTGTTTCCAACAGGTTGATGACAGATTCTTTTGGAACAAGCACATGATTGAAGATCTCATCAGCATTGATGTGAGTCTTGTGTACTCATGTGTATTACAAGAACTGTTCTCTAGTTTGACTTGCAATGTTGACTTTAGGCCTCTTAGAAGTTTGCTTAAAAACCTGCTTGGCAGAGAGGTGACGATCAGGACTGTGCCTCCTGAAGCTGAGCAGCTGGCACTACCTTCTCCCCAGTCAGCCTCCCAGCTGCCTTCTGGTTAGCCTCTGGTGGTGGCTAATGAATGAACTTCAGCTGAGTTTAAAATCTTATTGCAATAAAGCAACATAGAATAACTTGGTCTGATATGTTTCTGTTGATTTCTGAAGGTAATTTAAGATGTGTTCATCTTTGAAATGGATGGACAAAGCTGAACTGGATAATGAGGAGGAGCCAGAAGAGAAATAACCAATGACTCCGAAGTTTCCTTGAGACAAGATTTTTGTTTTCCTAAATGGGGGATATTGGTTTTCCCCTTGAACATAGTAGCTTATCAGTGTAAAAATAGTGTAGAACAAGTTGTTCTGAATAGCTATTTAGGGTAAATAAAACATTTTTCTGGCTGATGAGCACATAAAGAAACACAGAACCAACAATCTTTTATCAACATAGAATCTTCCTTCATTTTACAGCAACCTTGCAGAGAAGGGCTGAGTTTCTAAGTACTGTACAACAGTTTAGGCCAAGTCATATGTTCTTTTAAAGATGACAGGGGACATTTTACCTTATACCCTGCATCTCTTTTCATTAATAATATTACATACCCAATTGTTTATGGAATGACAGCAGAGTAAACTGAGATCCTCTGCAAAAAGTTGTGTATAATGCAGGAGTTTGGTTGTATTTTTCATGTGATAAGCTCTAAATGGATAACCTTGAACTTAGTGGGGAATTTGGATCTCAATTATGTTGAAGAAATTGAGGTTTTAAGGTGACAAAAGCACTAATGTGCAAAGCCTTGAACCACTTGACTTGGGTGCTAAGTTGGCCCATATGAAGCTTATGCTAATATGTTTTGCTGAAAACAGGCTAACAACTAACTACATACATCAATGTGATATGGTATATGTCCACATAGAGGTTGTATAAATAGCTTAAAATGGAAGCTAGGTAATAAATTACTTATATTTCCTTCTCTGTCTGAACTGACTATCCTTATCCTTGACATGAGAAGCTACTGCTTTAAGCTTTTAACATGCTTAAGCATCAGATGTAATGTTGAAACATTGAAAACTCCCTTTGGGGAAGAGAAGTTTAAAAAAAAATGTAGTGTTTTCTTGTGTCTCTAAATAGCTGGGAGTAGAGGAGGGTTTTTTTGCCTTGCCTTGATTCAGCTTGCTTCATCTCCATAGAAAAAAATAAGTTGTTTTCTTTCTTCTTCCTGATTTAAAAGCCTTACAACTGATGGAGATAAAATGCTGGAACTTTCTATAGAAATAAGACAAAAAGCATGTGAAACAACTGTTTATAAACATGAGAAATGGCAGAAATAATTGTAGGTAACTTAGAACCAACAGGATGTAAATGTTTTTTGTGTAACCTTCAGAATGCTGAAGTGGACTTCTGGATTATGCCCATCATTCAAGGATTTGTGCAAATTGAAGAACTTGTAGTAAACTATAGTGAATCTTCTGATGATGATAAGAGCAGTCCTGAAACTCCTCCTCAGGAATCAACTTGTGTAGATGACATTCACCCAACATTTCTGGTGGCACTTATTTCACGCCGGAGTCGGCACAGAGCTGGTAGGCAAATATAGTACAAGGTATTGGGATTATTCCTGAACACTGGAGAGGGATGCAGATGGTAAAATTTGAGTGCTGTGTTGTTCAGCAGATGGTCAGCTCTTGTCAAAGTATGTTCTACAGCCTTCCCTGCTTATGGGGGAAGAGAAAAGGCTGCAGTGCATACAGTGCTGCACAGCTCTTACTTAGGGTGGCTAGTGAGTGAGCTTCACTGCTCTGCTCCTGAGCACTGAGTGCATCCTTGGAGGTCACAGTCCTGAGGTAAAGTTCCATCTTTGCAGAGATTGCCTTGATTAGGACTTTGCTTGCAACCCTGTCCTCATAGATCTCGGTGGGTCTGGGTGGGAGTTAAATTTTCAGAGCTCTTCCTTCCTTTGAGGGCTTTGACAGCAGCTGAGTTAGAGACCTGAAAAGCCATGTGTGTGTGCCTGCCTGTGTCCCAGGGGATGTTTGTGTAGAGCCAAGGTGTGAAATAAGAACCTTGCTTTGGTCTTACACATTATTTGACTTATTCTAGTAGTAGCAAGGCAAACAAATTTTATTCTCTGTCCTTCAGATCTCAGAAAGAAAGGTTGAATCACTTGACAGTTTAGTAAGTCCTGTTCAACTCTAGGTCTTTTCAGTCTATCTGTTTTTTATTAAGATATTCCCCATTGTGTCAAACTCCTTTCCTACACAGTCAAGTTTTTAACAGGTCAAAAAACCAAGCAAAAAAACCTGGTGACCTTACTATGGTACAGGACTGGCCTTTGTACCAGAGCTCACTTCAATGCAGTTAATTGAGTTCCCAGGAAAATTTTGTCAGAACAACTTGGAATAAGTACTTGAAGGTTTCAGGGTAGTATCTGGTTTGCAGTTTCTCTTTTTAATAGTAAATTGTTATATAGTTACAGGAACTGAATTGCAGAGGGCAAATTTCTTATTGATTCCCCTCTTAATATTAATGACATTATGCTGATTGCTAGTCCACAGCATGAACTGTGTGGAACTTTCTCCCTTGACATGAAAAGCTTGTTTGGATCAATCGATGCAATATTTTGAAGAACAATTGTAGGATTGTGTGTTCAATTCATTCTGTAGTACATAATTTTAGCCAAGAGTTCAGCGTGTCTTCATTTCTGAAATATTATTGTTAACCCCTGAAAAAAAACACCCAAAAGATGGGAAACACTGGTTTGAAAGCCCAAGATACTTCTATGTGAAATACAGATTCTTTGTCTGTCAGCTTGTCTGTGATTTAAAGAAATAAATACAAAGTACCACTGCACTAAATTATCACTGTGCCCCAAGACTTAAGAAAAAGTGTCATGGGCTAAAGGAAGTCTCCTGCTCTTGAGAGTGAGAGCCTAGTGTCTGCAAAAGCTTAGTAGCAAAACTAAGTTCCTGTGAATTATTTAGTTTGAGTTTTGGTGTCAGAGCTACTATTGGTGGTGGGACATAAGTAAAGAGTAGCTGATGCTGTAAGCCCCTGTCTGATTAAAGGCTGTGACACTGCTCTGACAATTTCTCTATAAAGGTCACTGTGATAGGTATTTTGCTTTCCCTTTCCTCTTTCTAACATATTCCCTTCTCTCCCATAGTCTTTAGTGCTGCTGAGGTTCAGATAAAAAGTTTAATCCAGTGCTGCTTCAGGACTTGGAACAGAGCTGTTCTGAGTCTGTGAAACTGAATTTCCATGCTATAAACCATGGCCTTGAATCTTTATCCAACCCTTTTTACTTAGTCCTTCCCTGTCCTTTGCTACCACCTGCATCCTTTCTGCAATAGGGATGTGCTATCAGAGTAAAAGATATGCAAACACTTTTCTGGTCATTGAGCAGGTCAGATCTGGCTAATCAGAAAACTCTGCAGTCAGCAGATCATTATCTCTTGATGTGCAGAATTATACAGGTCAAAACAAGGAGAAGTCTTCTGTTTGGTGGAACATGTCTTGGGCTGCATGGGGGATCTGACTGTGAGAGGTGGAGCATCTGTCAGGAAAAGTGGCCTTTAGGTTAATGGAAAATCCTGAGCCCTAAAGTAAAACTTTCTGCTAAACTTGACAGAATAGGAAGAAATGTATCCTTTAGGGTGGACTAGATTTATCTGTGAATTTACAGTGCCAGTAAACTGCCTTGTTCTGTCAACTTACTTTCTGCTGCTTGTAGTGTATCAGTAAATAAGCTTTGCCCACATAGTCAAAATAACTTTTGGGGAAGAATCTAGGATAGAAGTGACTTTGACCATTGATTATGAGTTTTGGCTAGAGCTGTGTCTTGTGTTAGCATTGTCAAAAACAGCAACAAAAGTTTATTAATGTTCAAGACAAGTGCTTAAATATGAACTGACCATTCTCATTCCCCCTAGGGATGAGGTATAAGCGAAGAGGTGTTGATAAAAATGGCAATGTGGCAAATTATGTTGAGACAGAGCAACTGATTCATGTCCATAATCACACCCTTTCTTATATACAAACAAGAGGCTCTGTGCCTGTTTTCTGGAGCCAGGTTGGATATAGATATAACCCACGGCCCCGACTGGACAAGAGTGAGTATTTGGGTGGAATTCCTAAAGATCAGAGTTCCTTTGGAATTCTTCTTTTGGAAGAGCTGTTTATGTGGGTGTGTGGTGCTTGTATATAAGGAGTTAACAGGCTTAAATTTTTGTGCCATCTCTCAACAGAGAGCAAAACAAAGCAAAAGTTTGAGTGGTGTTTGCTGTGCATTATAGTAGTAGAACAGCAATGTTAAGTTGAGCAATTTGATGACTTTGAAAGTAATTTGCACAATGTGTTATGTGTCTAAGTACTTTAAGGGAAGCTGTCTTGGTTTTATGGAGTACAGATTTGGGAATATTTCATACTTCAAACAGGAGTTACTGCTGAACAGCTGTTTCCATCTAACACTGGTCTGCCTTGCAGGTGAAAATGAAACAGTGTCCTGTTTTCGGGCACATTTTGAAGAACAGCTGAAAAACTACAAAAAGCAGGTGAGTGCTACATGGTAAAATAGTACTTTTTATGGAAATGCAGGGGGTGAAAGTGTTCTTTGTTTGTTTTTCTTGGTGATATGTGTTGTGGGTTTTTTAGAAGCTTAGGGGAAGGTTGGTGCATAGTACAGTTTTACTAGGTTTTTCAAGTATCCTTATAAATAACCTCTAAAAATCAGCAAGAATTTATGGAAATGTGTTAAACCCTATTTCTGTCTACCTGTCCTGTGAATTCAGAGCTTCTCTGTGTTAAAATTTGGGTAGGCAGGTAACTGTTGGAGCTTATTTGTTTTAGGTACAATCTAGCAAAGATTATAACCTCAGCAAGATTACCTACAAATCTTTTAACTCTTGATCTCATTGTTATTGAATGGTGTGTGTCTAGGCAAGTCATGTAGCAGGTGAATTAATGAGTAATTAAACTTTGGAACAGGTTATTATTAACTTGGTGGATCAGACAGGCAGAGAGAAGATCATTGGCGATGCTTACCTTAAACAAGTCCTTCTCTACAACAACGCAAACCTGACTTATGTTTCCTTTGACTTCCATGAGCACTGGTAAGAAACATTAAAAATGTCATTTTACATCTTTTTCTGTTAGCATGAAAGGAGAGTAAGAGGAAAGAGAAAACCCATTATTGTTATTACTTCTGCTTCTGCACAGAACACTTTCTTTTTAAACAGGAAGAATACATTTTGTAAGCATAAACACTATAAAACTGTAAGTTTGGCTAACCAACCACTGCTGTTTGTGGACTTGTGTCCCTGACCCATAAAAGTATGGAGTTATTTATTGGGCAAAGCTTAATTGTCACACATTTTAAGCAAGAGAGTTTCCTTAAACATGCCCTGAATGTAAACTCTGGCTGACCTGCTTTGTCAAATTATGTAGCATTCTGCTTTTCTTTCTTTTCTACTTCTCTCTCTCTCTTGCTTGTTTCTGTACAAATACAGTGGGTTCTTTCAGGACCCTGATGCTGTTTTTCCACTATGAAAGACTGGATTTTACTTTAATCCAGTATAAGTAGTTGCTATTTTCACAGGTCCACTCTGATGTTGACATGATCTAGTGCAGAGTTCATGTGCCCAAGTTTATAATCTGCCGCACATGTATTTCTCATGCTTCCCTCAAGCAAGATGCACTTGTGTGAGAGTGAACACAGGGTCTAAACTGTTTTAATCTTCATTTCCAAACTTAATCTAGGGATAGCATCTGGTCTGGGAGAGCATTACTGACTGAATCAGTATGTCATTAGTAGATACTGTCAGAGGAGGTGGGGGGAAGGGAACCCCCATCCAAACAGTAAAGGCCTTTGAGACTTCTGTTCTGCAGAACTGTTGGCACCATCAGTTGATTTGATACTTAATCTTTTGTATAAAGGAGCTTTCATTTTCATTCACTTTTCTCCTAAGAACTGCTGTAGTAATCCAGACTGTTTGTTTTTGCACTGTGAGCATGAGTGAATGAAGAATAATCCTGAAAAACAACCTGGTGGGGTGAGGGGAGGAGGGAGTGATGTGTCTGTAGTTGTGTTTTCTGTAGCATCACTGGTAAATCAGAGTTCAGCATCCCCATTGCAAATCTACAGTGGTTACTTGTTTTGAGACTGTCTAAAATGAGAAGAGAACGTTGCCCATGACTGAGTAGCTACACACTTATTCTTCCTTATGGAAGCAGCATTCAAAAATGTAAATTCCTGAGAATTTAGCCATCTTAACCTCTTGCCTTGAATTTCATGTTGAACTGTACATTAAAATAGTTCTCAGTATTGGTTCCTATTTGAAGTTCATTGCAGAAGAGAATGTCTCTCTCCCACTTAGCCAAAACACTATCTTTGCTAGCAATACTTAATTATTTTATCTTATTTATGAAGTCACTGCTCTAGTTCAGACTAACCTTTGTGAAACTCTGTGTTTCAGCCGAGGAATGAAGTTTGAGAATGTTCAGACACTGACTGATGCCATTCATGATATCATCCTTGGCATGAAGTGGTGCTGGTAAGTACTTAACTGTTTCTAGACTAGTGTGGTACACTTGTAAGGAAAAATCCCCCAAAACCCAACAAACATTTTGGCCTTAATTTTGTCCTAACTGGTGTGTTTTATATTTCTCTTTTGGTGCTCAGATTGTGTTCAGTTTTGTGTTCAGAAGTGTTGGTTTTTGAAACATGTAACTGCCAAAGTTCTCAGGTGCTGTTTCCTGCCTGAGGCTTTTACTGCATTTAAAACTTTTAGGGTTTGTTATATTTGATGTGTAACACTTTGTCCCACAAACCTTAGCACACCAGCCTTATGTGGGAACCTCCAGGCATGTTTGACCTTTGGTTTGCACTGATTCAAGCTCATGTTTTGGTAAGGAGTGTGGCTCCAGTCTTCAATCAGTTACTCTCTACTGTTCAGTGATTTTTTTGAGTGAGATGTTGCTGTCATTATTATTGGCTTCTGTGTTTTTGAAATTAAATGCCTTTTCTCTTGAAAGCTTGTATTATATATGTATGAACTGAGTTCATCATCTGATTGCATCTCAAGTTTATGGCCCCAGTAGGATTTATGATATCCAGCCTGGATTGAAGAGGAGGATAGGCAGGAACAAGAGCAGTTAGTTCTCAGTGGGGCACAGCTGTGGTGAAGAGTGCCACTACAGATAGTATGCCATCTGTAAAATCCTCTACTGTGTATAGATGCTGATAAATTACACTGGATTTTAAGTGTCCCTGTGTGCTTGTGTTCTCTCTCTGTTGGAAGGGTTGACCAAGCTGGAGTGATTTGTAAACAGGAAGGAATTTTTCGAGTTAACTGCATGGACTGCCTGGATCGTACCAATGTTGTGCAGGCTGCTATTGCAAGAGTGGTCATGGAGCAGCAGGTGTGTGAACTAATGGGCTTTGTCAAGGACTGAGGGCCTCAGCACTCAGTGGTTAGTCACTGAGAAATCTCTGTGTTTGGAACATGCTACACTAACCTCTACTGGAAAGGATCTTTGCAAAATACTTGGAGCGTTATGAAGGTGAAAGGGTCAATATATACAAACGCAAAGCTTGAAACATAAAACAGTGGTGCCTAGTGTATTCCTGCAGAAAAGAAGTGACTGACTGTCCACATCTTGGAGACTATTGTCTGATTTATTAATTTTGATTTATGCAGTAGTAGAGCTTGAAAACAAAACACTATCAACCCCAATTTCCTTCCTGAAATGAGGTGTTAAAGGATCAAAACCTGACTAGATGTTGGATGCTATTTTAGCCACTTTGAAGTGAAATACTATGATGCAGCAGGTAGAGGAATAATTAATTCATGATGTAAATATCCCTGATAGCTGTGACTTTTGTGCTGTGGAATAGTTTTCCCTGCATAGAGAAGGCATTTCCAAGCAGACTAAGAGTCTTTCCTTTAGTCATTTTAATTTCTTTTGCTGCCCCCATTCACTTTTTGCTATAGAAGCTCAGTGAGAGATGATTCTCTTCCCTTGGGAAGACTTAATAGATACAGTACTACTGTAGATTTAATGCAGACTTAATAGTACTGGAACTGTGTCTTTGAAGCTTCAATTACAACCCAGCCCAAAATGAGCAAACCTGACTGTGTTTAAAGTGCATGAGAAAGGATGTGAAGTGTGTCCTTCATTAGGATGAAAAAAGAATGGCTCCAACCACCGTACCTGGCAGCTCCAGTTTGTCATCTGCTGTGATGAACTCCTGACACGGATGGAGTATTGAGGACAAGGAGTGGGAGCAGCAATTCCACAGTCATTATTTAGAACAGGATTTCAGTCCAGGTTAGCACTGAGTTCAAAGACAAACCTTTCAAAAGAAAGAGTTGTATAGATTGTTGAGAAAAGGGCTTCAGTAATCATTGCTGAAGGATTAGCTTGGGATGTGCTGCTGCATCATTCTCATGCTGTAGCTGAAGTACTTGGGAGTCAGTTCATAACTGAGAAAATGCCCTGAGTATTGGGAGGTGAATGACATGGGGTGAAAGGCTGAGTTATACATGTACCTTACATTTGGGCTTCCTTGGGTCCACAGGACTTGCTTTCTCACAGCTGGAAGCTTGATAGGGCATTCAAGGCCCAGGAACAGCATTGTATCGATTTTCATCTAGCTTGCAAGGAGTGCTTGAGCATTTGGGTTTGGTTGTAAATTGAAGTTTGCCTGTGATTTATTCCAAGTTATCCCTGCAGTTGGCCTATCATTTAGTGACTGCATTGCAGTTATGTCTCTGCTGCTTTACCAATTTTAGTGTGTATAAAAAGACTAAAGTCTGCATTGTACCCAAGTCTTATCTTGGGAAAACTGAAGTACTGGCTGTCCTGAGGAGTGAGAGATCTTACTTTCCCTATCAGTGTTAAACAGTAACTGTCCAAGATGTGCAAGCATTAATAAACCCACACATGAAGTTGTTTTTCTTTATCTGCAGACCCTTGAGGTCATGAATGCCTTTGCAGTAGAAAACTTATTAACTTGTTTGTGCATCGTAGAGTTCTGTGATGTCTGTTTTGACGGTTCTCTGTTGAAAAATTTCCTGTATCTTGAGTAATCTACAGAAACTTATATTCCTTTAGCTATTTTTTTTGATTGACTTCTACATCCATATTTAATGTTAATGCTGCCTCCAGTGATAGGATGTTTAGCGATGAATCAGTGATTCATTGCTAACAATTAATTTAACCTGACAAATCAGCAGAATGGTTTCCTTTTTCAGATCATATAAAACCTAACAAACCCTTGGTGAGTCTTCCCATTTTCTATATCAAGCCCTGATACTGAGAATGATTTGATCTTGGACGTTATATTAATATGTATGTCAAATTCCAGCTCAAAAAACTGGGTGTGATGCCACCAGAACAGCCTTTGCCAGTGAAATGCAACAGGATCTACCAGATCATGTGGGCCAACAATGGAGATGCCATAAGCAGGCAGTATGCTGGCACAGCAGCCTTAAAGGTAAGGGGTGAAGGATGTTCTGATGATATGTTTCAGGTTCTATGGGCACCGGAGAACTCTTGTAGGTGTGACAGAGTTAGCCAACTATTCTGCAGTAGAAGAATATTTTGCATCGCACTCATGGCTTGAGGGAGACTTGAGTGCTCAGGTGTCCTGTGGCACTGCTGGCTGAGTTTGAACTGTTTCCTCCTCATTTCATGTCTAGGTACAAGGCATAGCTGAGCTAAGAGTTGAAGATACCTGTTAAGATTACTTCCATTCAAATTTTAGTATGGTTATGGTACATCTAAGCAGTTACAGTACTTCAAAACTACTCTGAAGGTCTGAAGATTGGGATACGTAGGTAGTAGGGTGTTATTAATTAGTTAGATTTTCTAAAGACTCTTCTTAATTAGGTGTAATGCAGTGTGTCTACCAAGATCAGGCATGAAACTCCTTACTGTTTGCTCCTGCTGCTTTGAAAAGTCACATAATTTGAGGTACTTGTGGGTATAGCCACTGGTGGAACAAACTTGAGTACTCTTTGTATTTGACAGAAGAAAAATCATGATGGTGAAAATGCTTAACACTTAGATATCCCTTAAATACCTCTACTGAACCTTTTAAAAGATTAGTGCAATGGATTAAACAATTACAAAACTCAGCCTGACATGTGTGTCTTCATTGTGTGTATTTGACTTGAAATCTGAAGCACAGACTTCAATTTATAGATCCAAATTTTCAGCCCTTCTGCTTGAAGATTTCTCTGCTCATTGTTGAGGCTCATGGATTAAATGACTATTCATTGTGGTATTTCTCTGCATTTGAAAGTGAAACACACTTGAAATGTGCTTCACAGTAGTTGATGTGACTTATAGAACTGTTCTGTGTCTCTGAAAACAGAATCCCCTAATGAAGTGTAACTACCAAAATGGGTTTTTTTCAGATTCTAAGCCTTCCATGGCCTAGAAACTCTTTTGTTTCTGAGACTGTGAGGAGATGTACTGATTTCCTTCAGCATGTTATGCTTGTCTTGTTTCAGTAGCAAAAGCAGAGAAGATGAAAACCATTTTTCAATAAGCTCCAGTTTGCTCTGCTGTTCCAGTAGTGTTCCTTTCACATTAAAGGCCAAAAAATACAGCATTTTTTGAGGTATTGAGGCATCACAGTGACTGATGTCTTGAAAACTCTGCTTCAGTGTTAGCTGGCATATATGCCCAGCTTTGTTTTCCATTAGGACTTCATATTGAATCTTAAGTTTGTCATGAGCAGAAGATTCTCTGCAGAGTCAAACATTGTCAGAAGTAGATGCTCTTTGAAAAACCAGCGTTTTCAACTTCTGTATGAAGTAGTTACTTGGTGATAACCTCAGCTCTGAGTTTTAGAATGACAAAGCTGTTTGAGCTGAGCTGCTTCCAACTTGCTTATGTGCCTGATGTGCATGTTCTGTGTGACAGGGTGACTTCACAAGGACTGGTGAAAGAAAGCTGGCAGGAGTCATGAAGGATGGAGTTAATTCTGCAAACAGATACTACTTGAATCGTTTCAGAGATGCCTATAGGCAAGCAGTCATAGGTAAGAGTGAATTTCAACTGAGCTGAACTGTGGTATTTAGAGAAGTTTATTAAAATCATCTTGGCTTTATCTTTCTGACTGATGATTTTTTATCCTGTTGCTTAGAAGCACCTGGAGCGTGTATAATGTTCATGTCTATGTAATGGACACAGTAAGGAACAGTCATGCTCCATTTGGAGGTTAAACAACACTCAGCTCAGAGGAATGGCATGGACTGACTCACTGCAGAATTTGTCTCACTTCTTTTTAGCATTAGATCATAGAAGTAAGAATATAGAATAGATCATAGAACAAAGGATGCTACAGATATCCTGTATCTGTTATGCAGCAGGTGTGAGGTAACTCTTGGTTTTCACTGAGAGAAAGTAGTGTTACACCTCCTGAGTTCTCAGTTTCAGGCAACGTTCTGTTCAGAAAGAATATCAAGAGCATCATCAGCTATGAAACATTTGGAAGGAATTTGCAAAGTAATGAGCAGATACTGCTGTATGTCACTTTTAACTGTTTCTTTCTTGTTTTGTGGGTTTGGTTTAGATTTGATGCAGGGTATCCCTGTGACAGAGGATCTGTACTCCATCTTCACCAAGGAGAAGGAGCATGAAGCTCTGCACAAGGAGAACCTGAGGAGCCATCAGGAACTGATCAGTCAGCTGCTGCAGAGCTACATGAAGATGCTCTTACCAGATGATGAAAAGTTCCATGGAGGTTGGGCACTCATTGACTGTGATCCAAGGTTTGTTGGGCCAAGTCAGAATTGATCAGCTGCTACTCTGACACCTCTGTTAATTACTACTGCTATTAAGTTACTAAATGGTGTTAAATATTAAATCAGCTATTTTGATAGCTGATGTGTTAACAGAACACCGGGGACAGTTCTGTGGAATGACAAGAGTCCTTGAAGGGTTTGAATATTTGTTGTTGTAAAAGAAAAGGCCCTCTAGACATGTGCTTTTCCCAAAGTGCCATAAAAATGGTGCGTGCTGGAATTACCTTTGAGGCCTCATCTGGAAGTGCATTCAGTTAACATTGCCAAAATGTGGTAGGTACCATGCTGAGAACTTATAACCATCTCCAGGTTTAGAAGGGGCTGTTTGAGGAGCTGTTGTTCCTTATTGCTTTCTAGGGACAGTGTAAGTTGACTTCTGATCAGGTTAAATTCTTGGGGAATGAGTCAGCAATAGTCTAGATTTCTCCTTGTAAAAAGTAGTGGGCATGAACTTCACTCCCTAGTTCGGAGTTCACTAGCTTGTAAGAGAAAAGCAGTGGTTGGATCTTCTGCAGGTTCAACTTCAGCATCTAAAAACAGCAGAGCAGGTTGTTCTGATAGCTATGCCAAGCACAGACACAATCCCCTTCACAGAGGTATTTTTTCCATTTCTCTGTTGGCATTTTTAATAGTTGTAGGTTTTCTATTTATTTTTGGACTTTCTGCTGACCTATTTGAGCTAATAAGTAACTCCAGGTTTGAGAGTGTGTTGCTACATGGGTCCACTCACTGTGTGGTTGGTCTAATGACACATCCCATTTTGGCTTGTGAGGTGTCTCACTCTAACTGGATGTTTCAGTGGCTGAGGAAGCAGCAGCATCACAAAGGATAACATACCATAACTGAAACTTCTTGTAATGTGCATTTGGTTTGAAAAGAGTGTCCCCAAAATACCCTGGGATGGGATACAGCAAATAAAACCTTCTCCCTTGTCCTAATTTTTCTTCCCTTTCCTTAGCCTCATGGATGCCACTCACAGGGATGTGGATGTGCTGCTGTTACTTTCAAATTCTGCCTACTATGTGGCCTAGTAAGTTACCACTTTCTCTTACTATGTGTGGTTTATTTCTAGTAACTTTGCTTTAGATGTTTTAGGTTAAGGAGCATTAAATTCTGTTTCTTTTTTTCCAGCTATGATGATGAAATTGACAAGGTGAATCAATACCAAAGGTTAAGTCTTGAAGCTCTGGAAAAAATAGAAATAGGTAAGAAAATAGTCACTCTGTGTCATTTTTTGAATGCTCTGAACAATAGTTTGAGCACTCATAAAAGCATCCTACAATATATTGAACAACAAGCCTTGATCTGTGGTGTATATACTGTGCAGTCCATCTAGAAATGGTCTTCCCTGCTGATAACAGATGCCAGAGTTTTCTGTTCTCTCACAGTCCTGGCTTTTCCTACTGCCTGAAGTAGAAACTTTGATCACTGGAAGGGTTCTAAACTTTTCCCTCTTTCAACTCTTAAAAGAACGATGGAGTCATCCAAACAAATTTCATTATTTATCACATGGCAGTAACAATTTGATCAACTTGTGTAATGAGTCACAGGTCTGCGTGTTTGGTCTGTTCTTCCTTTGATCCAAAGGCAGCAGCTGGCTCTGAATGGTACTTTAGATCTGTTTCATAGCTTTTTTTAACTTCCTTCTCAAAGCCTGGTAATAAACATGCCATTACGAAATCACCTCATCCTGCTCATTTACCTTATCTGTTGGCTAAAGAATGTGACATCTGCAGGCTAAATCAAACATTTTCTGCTGGAAGCATGAAAGATGTGATACACTGACTTTACAGATGGAAAAGGTGTTCCAGCTGGAGGGAAGGGAAGGAAATTCTGGCCCCCCGTGTGTGCCCCCCCAGATGGAGTTGAATCCACCATTTCACAATACACAGTGATTTCATCATCTCCTAACTGTAACTTTCAGTCTGTGCAATTTCTGAGGGTTCAATGGGAAGGTCTCTCCTGCTTGTGTATGGTGGAGATTGGTAATATGTCCTGATGCAGTGAATAGAGTTGAAACATCTACACCATATGGCCTATAAAAACTAAACTTCCCCCCTCATTTAATGGGCATGTGCAGTGCACTGAAGGGTTGGACTACTTGGTCTAAACCCTGAAACTTATATTACATCCACTTGGTAAAAATATATTAGCTTTGCCTTTAATCCTTGAAGGAGATACCCTAAAAAACACACAGGATGTAAAAGATGTAGATATTTCTTCTGTTTGAAAGGGTGATCTGTAATAAGCAATCAGGCTGGATTATAATAGACATGCAGACAGTCTAATTGCTTTTTGTAAGGGATTGATTGTTTAGTTGTTGTAATTAAATTCTTTCATTTAAACTGTTACTCCTGCTCTAAAGGAAACCTGAAGCTTTATATGCTGAAAAAGACTCAATACTTACATATGTTTAGGAACGGCCTCTTCAGGATGTCTTTCAGTGCTTGGCTAAAGATTTCTCATCTGGTTTCTCTCTCAGGGCCTGAGCCTACTCTCTTTGGCAAACCCAAGTTCTCTTGCATGAGGCTCCATTACAGGTACAAAGAAACGAGTGGGTATTTTCACACCCTCAGAGCTGTCGTACGCAGCCCAGAAGAAGATGGAAAAGGTTTGTTTCAGATGGAAAAGTTTTGTACATAAACCTGCATTCAGTATCTTGGAAATAATTGTTCCATTGCTAAGTTACTCTTCTTCAGAAGAAGTTCTTGTCTAATCCAGTTGTGTGGCGTGGGAAACCAGTAAAAACCCTCTATGTGGCTTCTTTGTAAGATGTTACTGTTTTAATGGGGGAAAAAAAGAGGAAGTTTAGGTATAGCTTTAAAGCAACTTCTCTCTGTAGAACTGAGACATTTCCCTGTCCAGGTCTTTACTGCTTCAAAACCGGCTAAAATGAAGTTAAAATGAGCTCCTAAAGACCTGAAGAAATTGATCTCTTAGTGAAATCAATGTCTGGAAATGTTGCTGCTTGTTGTTTGACTAAATTAAATGAACCCTGGTAAGGGAAAAAAATATCACTTCTTACCTGGAGCACTGAGTTTTGTCAACAAGGATTAGAATAAATAGAATTGGTTCTCCTCTTTCCACAAATGAAGCAGTGTGATTCACTTTGCAGCCAGTATTTAGGGCTCTAGGAGAGTGTGTTCTTTAAGCTTATTTTGTGAGCTTTTAATCAGAATTACAACTCTCAGGAACCAGCTGTTCTGTAGGGTGAAAGAGAAAAAACAGCAGCAAAATCAAACTAACTGAATTACCTCAAAATTAGGCTTGTTTCTTTGTAGATTGTAGAATACAGGGTTTTAAGGGTGTTTTTAAGGGTCTGACAGGCTGTTTGTGTTTCAGACACTCTTCAGTGCATTGCAGAAATGCTGAGAATCACAAAGCAAGCAATGGGATCAGATGTGCCCATTATTGAGAAGAAGCTGGAGAGGTGAGTACACAATTGATGTGAACCTTCTGTATCCCAGTTCTGCACTGTTCTCAGTGGCAAACGGCACGTGGTAAGAGTCATAATGTGATGCCTAAAAGAACCGTCTGTTCCCAGCTCCAGTGCTAGGAGTTACTGTGCTCATGTGCTTCCAGTGATAGCAACAATCTGCAGGGGCTTTTCTAAAAGTACAAGCAAGGACTGTATTTTATACCTGTACTTATTGACAATATACACCACCAAATGTGAAAAAGTACTGCAAATCAGATAGTTCTTGATGAGTTTGTCCAATTTTTCCTATCTAAAATCTGGTCCTATGAGGTTTGGATTCTTCTGCAGTGGAATGGTTAACAAATCCAGAGAACATTACATGTCTTGTGTGAAGAAGGGGCTGAAGTTAAACTTCTGAACTCCTAAGTGTTAGAAGGGCACAGGAGTTCTTGTTTTGCAAGCCTCTTAAGGGAGCACATGAAAGAAAAGATAATAATTAAAACTGCTTACCAGAACCTTTTAGATAGCCTTCTCTGAGCCAGTTGTCTATAGTTAGACAGAAGTAACCTTTATCTGCAAAGACTGGTGAGGTGTCCCTTGCAGAGAACGATGGGCAGAAATAGGACATGGAACTGTTGGAGCAAGTCCAGAGGAGGCCAGTTGATAAGGAGACTGGAGCATCTCCTCTATGAGGACAGGCTGAGGGAGAGACACTGGCAGAGGTTGCCCAGGGAGGTAGTGGATGCCCCAACCCTGGCAGTGTTCAAAGGCAGGTTGGATGAGCCCTTGAGCAACCTGGTCTGGTGGGAGGTGTCCCTGCCCATGGCAGAGGGTGATGGGATGATCTGATCTGTAAGGTCCATTCCAACCCCTAAAATTCTATGATTCTTCTCCCAGCTGAGTAGAAAGTGCAGCAAGAAAATCTTGTTCTTTAAGGTTTTGCAGACGGAATGTTTGCTAAATCTGGTTACTCAGTACAGCATAGACAGAATGAGGGTTACAAAAACAGATAATTCAGATCCATTTTAATCTAAAACTAAAGTGCCTGCAGAAACTGGCTGTTCCCAACCCCTAAAATTCTATGATTCTTCTCCCAGCTGAGTAGAAAGTGCAGCAAGAAAATCTTGTTCTTTAAGGTTTTGCAGACGGAATGTTTGCTAAATCTGGTTACTCAGTACAGCATAGACAGAATGAGGGTTACAAAAACAGATAATTCAGATCCATTTTAATCTAAAACTAAAGTGCCTGCAGAAACTGGCTGTTCCTCTTGTTTGGCTACTGTTCTGTATCAACCCTCCTTTGTTTTGGTTGGTTTGAGCTTGATTAGTTTATATGAGTACAATATTATTATGTAAGGAAAGGATTAACTTTATTTGTGTAAGGAAGGGATAACTTCGTAACTAAAATGTTCATCTCTGTTATGGAAATAGACTGCAGGACAGTGAAGACTTAGTGTTTATAAAAAGATGTTTTGATTGTACATCACAGATTCTTTTCTTTCTCTTCCAGGAAGACCAGTAAACCTCATGAAGACATCATTGGCATCAGGTCTCAGAACAGAGGGTCCCTGGCCCAAGGCAAGAATTATTTACTAAGCAAGTTCTCCTCTCTCAATCAAAAAGTGAAACAAACCAAATCCAACGTCAACATGAGTAACCTTCGGAAGCTGGGCAGCTTTGCCAAGCCTGAAATGAAAGTCAACTTTTTAAAACCAAATTTGAAGGTGAATCTTTGGAAGTCAGATAGTAGCCTTGAAACTTTAGAGAATCCAGCAGTAGATGCTAAAGCCAGTACTGAATCTGACACAGAAGGGTCAGATAACGATTCATTCCACTCTGATGACTTCCTGACCAATTCCAAATCTGATGAGGACAACCAGCTCACTGACTCCCTGGAGAACATAGGGCCAACAGACTATGTGCTGCCCAGCTGTGGCATCATTGCCTCGGCACCACGGCTGGGCAGTCGGTCCCAGTCCATCAGCAGCACTGACATGAACATCAGCATTCCTGTCCCATCTGAGGCCCAGGACCCCCAGGCTGGTCGCTCTGACTCTGAGGACATTCCCATGCCTTCTGCTGACAACGCAGACATGGAGTTTGCTAAACCTATTGATGTGTACTGCCAGAGGTTTGTGCAAGATGCCCAAAGTAAGATGTCAGATGTTTTGGAGGCCGAGGCTGGTTCTCAGGAGCCCCATCACACAATGAATCAAACCAGCAATAATGTGTCTAAGAAGGCAGAAACTAAAGCTGATGCTGCTGGAGACATTCCTTCCAGACCATCTAAGCTGGATGTACAGTCTTCTGAGCCAAATCCCCAGCTCCTAGGTGTTAGTGGGGCTGACTTGAGTAAATCCCATAGGAGCCCAGGTTCTGTGTCTGGGAACCATGAGACAGGACTCCACACGACTCCTTCTCCTGCCGACGGCGGCAGCAGCAGCAGAGCTGTGTCTCCTTTTGCTAAAATCCGCAGTTCCATGGTCCAGGTTGCTAACATCACCCAGGCAGGATTGACTCAAGGGATTAACTATGCTGTGGCAAAGGTGCAGAAGAGCCCTGCAGAACAAGAAGCTTTAAATGAAATGAAACAAAAAGAACTGAAAGAAATGTTTACGCAATGCCAGACACGAATAATTCAGATCTAGTTGCAGATTTAGGTGTTCTTCTAGTTGGTGGCTTTGAATAAAGTAGTAAAAGAAAAAATGACATTGTGGCATGAAGTGCTGCTGGATACTGGGATGGATAATAGAGGTGACTCGTTTACAGGCAGTGAGAGATGCAAATGAATTTGGTTCTGACCAAGCTTCTGAATTCCCTCAGGCAGGTGAGACAGACCAGTAACACCCTTATTAACAGGTAGCTTAGACACTGGGGTTCAGTCAGCATGCTGTCTATCTTAATGTGTTGCACACTTCTTTTTTTGGAGACTAATTTTGTAGCTCTTCTGAATTATGTAGAAAGTATTTATACTAACCAGGTGATACTGCACTTCTCTGACCTTACTTACCTTGCACTACACCAGCAAAATAACGTTCTGGTAAACCACGTTTTATTTATTTTTTTGGACTAGTAGTATTTTTACTTGTTTTCACTGAAGTTTTAGATGCAGCTCTCTATGAATTGTGCCTCTACAATGGGAACCAATGCATTTTTGTTGAATTTAAGTATGTTAAGCAGTAAGATTTCTCTGCTCTTTTTCTTTCCACATGTCCTGGGACAGTTTCATTATAGATAAAGCTGATGGACACAATCTGAAATATCCAGGATCCTGCAGTGCAAATTTCTTTTTGTATATTGGGGTTTTTTTTTTTTCACTTGTTTTGAGGTGAGGGTAAAAGAAGCAAATGTACTCCATTTTTTCCCCCCATGTTAAAGCTATTCCTGTTTCCTTTTTTTTTTCTCCTGAATTTCAAACTGCCAATTTGCTCTAACCTTCTGTCTGTGTAAAGCAAGACAAGCCAGATAATACTGCCTGTCAGCATTGTGTCCCTCTGTGCTGTGACTCCTCTTAACCTGTATTCTAACTGTCCAGATGCAAAAGTACAAGTACCATCTAAAGCAGAAGCAAGTGTACAGCTTCATGTGTTGCATTAGAGCATAGTTGTGTCAGCATCTACTCAAGTCCAAATTCATTACCAACTCCAGCTTTGCAGGATAAAGCTAAGCCCTCCATTCATGCTGGGATTTGAACAAAAGATACCTTTATCTATGTGTGTCAAAAGTTGAAATCTATTTCCCAGAAATGCCTTGCCATGCCATGCTAGTCTAGGACATTATCCAAAAGCTGCTGTTAAAGCAGGACCTTCCTCTGCTGTGGTTTGTGAGTATAACCACCCTGACAGACCCAGTGCCTCTGTGTTCTTGTCTGTGTACTGTAGATAGGCTGCACGTGGTGTTCCCACAACGTTGTGTCCTAGGGGTAGGGTAGTTCCATGTCTTAGGACTTATAGAGTGTCTGAAATGATTTATCATCTAACCCTGATGGTCTGAAACTTTGATAAACAAATTTGATTTATTTATTTTATTAAAGTGATGTGGGTTTGGGTTTTTTGAGTGTCTATACTTGTGGCTATATTTAAAATTAAACCACTGCTGTATTTTAATGTGAGCAATATACATGAAATATTTTAATAAAAAAAAAGTGGAATCAGAGGATGGGTTTGGTGTGTGATGTTAAGGGCTGTGATGCTGCAGGGACTACTGGAGGACATCTAGCCCCTCCTGCTCAGGCAGGACCACTTGGAGCTGATGACCCAGGACTGTGTCCACTGCTTTTGAATAGTATAGACTCAGTTAAAGTCACCCATGACCATTGAGTCCAACTGTTCCCCCAGCACTGCCAAGACCACCACTAACCTCTGTCCCAAAGTGCCATATCCACATGGATTTTTAACTCCCTCCATGGATGATGACTCCACAGTGGCCTGGGCAGATTGTTCGAATGCTATGTCCTATTTTTTGTTACTTAGGAGACCAACCCTCAGCTCCCCATAACCTCAAGGATGGGGACCTGACACGCCTCTGGGCAACCTCTTCTAGTGCTCAGACTTTCTGCTGGTACAAGTGTCTGCAGGACCTCCTGTCTTTTAGTTTGTGCCTGTGGCCTCATGTCCCACCAGGGCACCACTGGTTTCCTTGCAGCCTCCCTTGGGTAGCTACAGACACCAAGGTCTCCTGTCAGTCAAGGGACAGACATGACTTCAGTACTTCATCCTTTGCTGCTACAGCTGTGGCCTTGGGAGAGAAAAAAAAGTCATAGACACAAACTCCTTACAAACTGCCTCAGCCCTGGTACTTGCAAAAGTTCTGGGAGGAGAGGAAACTGCAAATACTTTGCCATTATTTAGATGAGAGAGAGAAACTGATCTGCACAAATGCACAGTGACCTTGACAATCTTAAGAGAGTCCTGTAAGGCAAAGGTACTAACTAATAGTGCTACAATGGAAAAATGCAGTAAAAAAAGGAGGTTCTTGTTCACATGATCTCAGTCCTGAGAGAAAGCATTAAGCAAAGGTGGACTGAGCTTAATTCAAAGTGGGCAGGAGACTAATCTTGTTCAGAAAAGGATTAATTGAAGCAAAATCTAGAAGTGGCTCCAGCACTGACTCTTGCAGGATATCTCCACACCAATAGCCTTCCTAGATTTCTCCAGCTGCAGGTTGGCTTAACATTTTGCTCCTCAAACCACCTTTGTTAAACAAGTTCTGCAGGTCCCATGAGGGTCAGGCTGCTCAGTGGGCAGGAGACTAATCTTGTTCAGAAAAGGATTAATTGAAGCAAAATCTAGAAGTGGCTCCAGCACTGACTCTTGCAGGATATCTCCACACCAATAGCCTTCCTAGATTTCTCCAGCTGCAGGTTGGCTTAACATTTTGCTCCTCAAACCACCTTTGTTAAACAAGTTCTGCAGGTCCCATGAGGGTCAGGCTGCTCTCTGAACACCTCAACCTGTATTAAGGTATGTAGAGACCATTCTTAATGCTTCACTGATATTAATCAAACCCTTTAACCACATCACTGCTAAGGCAGAGTAAGGAACATTATTTTGTACAAGTATATGAGGATCACCAATTCTCCAGTCAAGAATAAAACTCACTGGAGACTTGAGAAATTAGTCATGGCCTACTCCAACCACAATAAAGATGTATTTCATACATGGTCATGAATAAGATCAAATCAGTTCTTTATCCCACAGTGTCATCACCATTATGCTGCTCTGAGTGTGATGTGCCTCAGTTCACAGAACAGCCACTGCCCAAGTCAGTGCCTCCTCCAGCTGCAGCTGAGTGCTCTGAGCCTCAGAAATTAAAGCCTAAATTCATCCCAGGACAGAGCCTAGCACTGCTGTGTATGAAGGGCTCTGGGTTAAATTTTCTTGTTATGAAAGGGAATCAGTTTACACAGCTTCAGTATTAAAGTTTAATATCAAACAATTTGCTCATTGTTACCAATTTTCAATTACAAAACAGGGTCCAAAAAAATTCCATAAAATATGTTTAACTGGCTGAACAGAGTTAAGTGTGTTCAGACTGCAAGGGTAAATATCCATAACTTTTTGGTATAAATTATCTACAAAAACTGGTATAAACAATATTCCAATCTTAGTATGGGTTCCATCTAGGATTAGGCAAATTTTTCATAGTGACATCCACCAAATATTAAAGTTCATTCCCATTAACACATTTCTGCTGCTGCAGCCTGGCTTTACGTAGAGCCTCCAGTTGTTTTGCCCTCAGCCACCTCTCCCTGGACAGCGTCGTCTGCCCCACGCTGAGTGACAGGAACCTGTGGGAGCACAAACACCACTTCAGCAAGAGCTCAGAAATAAGACACTTGATAAGCCAAAACAGTCCAAACCCACCTTTCTGCCAGTATCCTAAGAACTAGAAAGCAAGGGGAGAAAGAGGGGAGGAAATGATTTGCCCAAGGGTCTGTGACGAGGAACAAAGGGAGAGGAGGTTCCATCAGGAAGGACACTGAGGTGCTGGAGCAGGTCCAGAGAAGAGCAACGAGGCTGGTGAAGGGACTGGAGCACAAGTGCCATGAGGAGAGGCTGAGGGAGCTGGGGGTGTTCAGCCTGGAGAAGAGGAGGCTCAGGGGAGACCTTCTCACCCTCTGCAACTCCCTGACAGGAGGTTGGAGTCAGGTGGGGGTTGGTCTCTTCTCCGAGGCAACCAGCAGCGGGACAAGAGGGCACAGACTCAAACTCTGCCAGGGGAGGGTTAGGTTGGATATTAGGAAGAGATTTTTTACAGAGAGAGTGCTCAGGCATTGGAATGTGCTGCCCAGGGAGGTGGTGGATTCCCCATCCCTGGAGGTTTTCAAGGTGAGACTGGATGTGGCACTTAGTGCCATGGTCTAGTAACCATGGTAGGGTTGGACTTGATCTTGGAGGTCTCTTCTAACCAGGTTGATTCTGTGATCTTTGCTAGGCAGCCTGACACAGCCAAATTCAACTGCAGACTATAAGCATTGACTTCACATGTCAGCAGCTTGCTGGGAAGGTTTCAGGCAGCACCCACCTTGCCACGAGCAGAGTTTTGTGCAGGTCGTCGGCCGTGATGCTCTCAGGGTCGTTCTTGCGCATTTCTACAAAGTCTTCTTCTACTGCCTGTGAACAACAGAGTGTATCTGTGGAGCAACACAATCTCCACTATGAGAAAAGCTTCTGAGGAGCTGAACACCGTAACTACCTTTAGATTACAGGAGAGTGTTTCAGCTCTTTGCTGTCCAGAAGTGAGCCTGAGCAAAGGCAGGCTACCTCTAGCTTTGAGAACAGCTAGTGTTCAAAACGAGTGTTAGAAAGCAACTTACATACTATAATTTCAGGATATACTTCACAAACGTTTGAAGGCACATTCAGGATGTGAAAATGCTTCTGATTTTTAGAAAACTTCAAGGAGAACCACCCACGGGGAGAGCAATGGGAAAGTAGAGCAGTTGTCTATTAATGTGCTTTCTACCCAAATGCACAGTTGAAAATGTTAGTGAAGTCATCCATACCTTGGTCACTTCATCAGATATGCTGTAGTCCAGCAGCCTCAACAGACTCAGATAGATCCGAAATTTGTTCAGCACAGAGGGGAGCAGTGCTGTCAGGAGGCTGTTCATGTACTCCTCCATGTTTGGTGGAATTATCTGGGGTTGTAAGTGGATTTGGCAATCTGACTGAAAGATAAAATTACATATCATCTCTTTCCACATCCCATTGTTTTCTGTTCCAAGACAAATTTACTTTCGAAGCCAACAGAAGTCACTATTTCCCAGAATTAAGGTAAGTCAATTCTTTAAATATTCCACAGTTCCCTTTTTGCAGTCCTCATTCAAGTGGGATCCAGCTGCTCTCAGGGGCAGGAGAGCAAAGGCTCAGCTGGTCAAGCTGGAATAGCTTAGGCTACTCTAGTGGCAATGCCAGATCTGTGGCTCTTTGTTCCTGTACCCATCATCTCAGACACTCCTGTGCCAGAGTAAGGCTTTGAGAGGGGCCCTATCTGCAGGCTTCACCCATCTCTGGGACCTTCACTGCCTCTCCATCCCTGTTCAGCCAAGGAGGAGGTGCATCTTGTTCAACCAAGAAGGTCCATCTCCTGGTTTTCCTATGAACAGGTTCTTGGCCTGGCTGCAGGCACGAATACTAATGACATGCAGCAACTAATGACAATGTCACACCCACCCTGGTCACAAGACAGATTTCCTGTCTTCCCTTGTCCCTGGCAGGGCCTGCCCTAAGCCAGCAGCTGCCAGCTGTAGTCATCCACCAGAGTGAGGAAGACCTTGCCATACCGGTAGGAGTGATCGTCCCTCTGAAGTGATCAGGACATTAATGTTGCATGGGAATTCCATCCGGTGGTAATTGAAGTCATAATCCACCTTCTGCCAGGTGATCAGATTTCCCAGTGCTGTCACATTATGGACACCTGGAAGCAAGAACAAATTCCGTGACCACTGGATCGAAATAATGTCACCTCTGATTTTTGTTCCCAATCTGTTTTTAATCAGCAGCTACCAGAATTCTTGCAAGCATCTTGCTTCTTCTTGTGTCTCTATTGTCTTCCAGACTGACATTGCCATTTCTTAAGATCAAAACTAAGAAATCTTGATTTCAAGCCCAAGTTTTACCTGACTTTGTACATGTCTCACAGGCTGAGGAAGTGGGGGCTGTTCAGACTGGAGAAGGTTGTGTGGACACATAAAGGCAAATTTACTATTATGATTTACTTTTAGAACATTTTCCCATTTGAAATCCCTAAGCTGTAACTTACAAGAGTTCCAAACCAACTACTAGATGTGAAGATACTTATTCTTCTCTAGGATTAAACTATGTTCCTAACACTGCTACAAGAAGTTAAAAATATTTACTTTTTAACTCTAAGTTCAGTAGACAACAATCTCACGCCAATAACAAATAAAATTAACAAGCCTTTTTTATCTGCAACTTTCCATACTAAAAATATTGCTTTCATTAAATGCTGAGGACTTACAGACATCATGGACAAACATTTCAGAGAACCTATAAACAAAAACAGCAGAATTCTCTAACTGGGAGCTTTTCAGGTTTTGACTATTTTGTTTTGAAAACAGACAATGCCAAGTTTACTACTAGTTTTACTATTTTCATTCATGAAATCTTGTAATGAAACTCAAACTAGACTCAGAAGCAACTGAGTTATTTCAATTAACAGCTCTTAGGAGCAGCCATTAAAGCAGGTTTCTCAAGGGAGCATTTTCATTTGGCATAAAGTCACTTGCAGTGATTTCCTATTCTTCTTTCACAGAACCTCCCAGGCTGGACAGGACCCACAAGGATCACTGAAGTCCAACTCCTGTCCCTGCACAGGACACCCCAGGAACCACCACAGCCACCTGTACTGTGCATTCCCCAGTTACTGAACTTTCAAGAGGTGCAACTCACCTCTTTTACGTAAGCTATAATTAACTTAATTGCCTGCAGCTCTGCTGAAAGCATGGTGCACAGTGCTACACCAGCTTGTAAGCTGAACCATCACTTTTTCGCACAGTCATAGCAATATTTTATCCCCAGTTTTTAGCTGGGTCCTCAGGGATGGGCTCCGTGTATACAGTAAAGGTACAGAACATAAGGCAATAGCATATGCTTCCCCCACTCCATCACAGGAAACTGAAAGGCCACTCTAATGAATCAGAGTTATTTTGGTAAGAGAGAAGGATCCAAATTTGTCTTAAGTTGCCTGAGGAGGCTGCAGGCTAGCAGGAAGCTGGTTCAAGCCATGGAATAGGATACAGAAACCACAGAGGGTTTGCTAACAGACCATTATCGTGGGGCACGATTAGCATCACTGTCCCGAAATACACCAACTTCTAACCTTCCAGACGAGATTTTAAAACCTAAAAACGGTTTACCTGTCGTGTCAAGCTGTCCTTGCTCAAGCAGAGTCTCATCTACCACCAGGGAGGTGTTGCTGGCCAGCTGCAGCACTCCACTGACCAAGCGGTTGGCCACGTAGTCCTTGCGCGGGATGAACCGCGCGTGGTTCATGTTCTCGATGGTCATCTGCAGCCGATGGGACTGCAACAAGAGACAGACTCAGCACCACATCCCCCTCCAGCCTCCCAGCAAACACTGCTGCCTTCAGCCAGAGCTGCAGCTGCAACCTGCACAGCAAGTACAACAAAACCTGCTCCCACAACGAAGAACAAATACTCTTTATGCCAAATATCCTAGTGCTGCATGGTTAAAACTTCCCAAAGGAAAATAATGCTGTTAAGAACTCCTGTCACCTGCACTGCACAGCCAGGATGAGCTAAACAGCAAAAGATCTATTGCAGCAATACTATGATTATAACCCCAAACTGAATTACTGTGAATTTTCCGTAGGGCAGGATCCAAAAACTTGGGAATTAACCATAATGACACCATAATTAAATGACCTGAAAGTCTAAACAAATCATTCCAGAAAGACAAAACAACATATCTGTCAGTTCAGTACTCTAAGGAGATGGTTTTATTTATTTTACAGGCTGAAGGAGTTAGGGCTGTTCAGCCTGGAGAAAAGAAGGTTGTGTGGAGACCTCAGAGCACCTTCCAGGAGCTGAAGGGGCTCCAGGGAAACTGCAGAGGGACTCTGTTAGGAACTGCAGGGACAGGACAAGGGGAAATGGGTACACATTGAAAGAGAGGCAATTGAGGTTTGATATTAGGAAGACATTTTCCCTGTGAGGGTGGTGAGACACTGTCCCAGGTTGCCCAGGGAGGCTGTGGCTGCCCCAACCCTGGCAGTGTTCACAGCCAGGTTGGATGAGCCTTGAGCAACCTGCTCTGGTGGGAGGTGTCCCTGCCCAGGGCAGGGGTTGGGGCTGGATGATCTGTAAGGTCCATTCCAACCTCTAAAATTCTATGATTCCATATTCATCCTGGATGACTAGGCACACAGACACCTCAACATACAGACATGCCCTATCTCCATTGTTCCCTGCTCTCTAAATGGGTAGCAGAGCCTCTGTTGAAGTCTGTCTGGAACTAAAGGATTGTTTGCTTGGTTGAAACAATTAGCAAACATCTATCACAGAAACACTGAAGCTCTGCAATGCTGTTGTGCTTACTGCTGGCACCAGCTGCTGGATGATGCGGTATATCTGCTCCGTGAAGACACTGTTCCTTGGACATCCACTCAGGTTGACTGTGAATTTTCCCAGAGGAAGCACATCTCGTCTTGCATAACTAAACCAAAAATAACACAGGTTAGACAAGCACCTGAGGAACTCAGTGAATACAGGTACTGCTGTCTCTGACAGCCAGCAGGATTGAGGCACCAACACACACAAAAATAATAACCCACTCTTCCCCCTTTCTCCAGTGGCCAAGATGCTGAGCCAGGCTGAAGGCTGCTCTGGAAGGCTTTGCAGGACTGAACAAAAGCATTTTACAGTACTTGGGATCCTGCAGTGTGCCTTCCAGAATATCCTGTTCTCCTTGTCCTCTACTGTTACTCAGGAAACACACTCATTCTTTCCCTTTCTCTGCCCAATATCTATTTCCCTGCTTATCACACTTGCCCATCTCCTTTACTTTGCCCTCAGTTTCCTCTCCCTCTTCTCACTGTTTATCTTCTCCCCATTCTCCACAAACTGCAACTTTTTTGTGACACCAGCTAAGACAGAAAACACGCTCTAGTCCAAGTGTCAGAGCATTCACAGTCCCAAGAGACAGAACCAAAACAGAATCCATTTTAATTCTGAAGAAAGACCAAAATGACCAACATTCAATCTGAGCCTGACAACTGCACTTCATCCGACCAAAACACACTGTCTCAAGTTTCACACTTGAGATTTTAAAGAGTCAAGGGATGTTGCCCTTCCATCCAGTGACAGTTTAAATCAAGAGTAAATTTCTGTCACATGCTATACATGCCACAAAACTGGCCTTTCATCAGTACTTACTGTTCTTTCAGACAATTAAATCTGCCTCTGTGCCCATCATGACAGGACAACTCTAGCTGGACCATGTGCTACTGAAATCAGTACTATTTCAGCTATTTCTGGTATCTCTTTGCAGATTGGTGAAGAACACAATAAAAGGAGATTTCTTTGAAAAGATGAATATATAAATTCCCAACCATCTAAATACTTACACTGTAGAGATGAGATGCAATATAAGGTACTCAGCAGCCAAACTGTCTCCCAAGAGGGCATGGGTGAGGAACCCCAACAACTCTGCTCTCACTGGTGACAGCTCAGACATGAAATTAGACACAACTGACAAAAGAACAGAAGACAATAAATGTCAGGAAAAGTCCAGCTTCTCACCTCCTATATAAATCTTACTTTCCATTATAGTTTGATGAAGAAAAATGTTTATGCCAAAACAGTCCAGGAAAAATAAACCAACATTCATTGGTTTTTCCAGCTGAGCAGTTACTGGCTTTGGATAACCTGAACCACTCAACATTTCCTTGGAAGTGCTTTCTTTTTCTGCATTATGTAATACATTTGCAGAAGGCTATAAAGTTTGGAATTCAATTTCTAAAATCATAGCTATCCATTTTACATCAAAGGCAGAAAAAAACCCTTACAGGCAGCACAGCTCAGGATAATCAATAGAAGGCACTCAAGGCAGAAAATTAGAAGTATCAGAGGTTTGCATACAATAATTCAATGACCAAAAAAATAACAAAGAGGTCACAGGGAGTAGCACAGTTGCTCAAAACCAGAATTGCCTTATTTTCTGCACAGTATTATGATTCTTTATGTTGTCAGCATGTTTCTTATTTCCACTATCATACTAAATTGGAAATGTCTCATGTGAAAACAAGTCAAGCTGAACAACCTGGTAAAATCCTTGGATATGTATGAATGCAAACCCGAGTTTCATATAAATCACACTTCATAAAAAATGCAATGCAAAGATCACATCAAACACACCTTGCCCAGTTCTGTAGTGTTGAATGGTTCCTCCATTTAACCAGACTTAAATTCTAACCCTGCCATTGAGACCTTTGCCTCTGAGCAAAAAAATCTGAGTTCACATGTGCTAGGAAAGTGCACAGAGTTGAGATACTCACAGGTTTTACTCTCCTCTTCATTAAGGCAGGCAGGCAGCAATGGGTTAATGTGTTGCAACTTGTGTGCCAGAATCACATGGATTCTGGGCACTAGTGAGGCTGGAGGGCTGTGAACTCGCTGTTCTTCTGCTGTGTCCATACACTCCATGGGATCCAGGGCTGAGCAGTCCCTACAAAAGGGCACAGCACAACTGGACTTAGAGACATTCCACAGGAATTTTTCTCCATCTGACTAAGAGCAGCTGGAACCAGGCCAAGAGCAGAGCACAAACAACATCCTCACCCAGGCTCCTGGGAGTTCCTCCCATAGCTAAACGACCTTCTTTAGGATTTCTATAAGCACCATAAATACTGAATCACAACTAGGTAATGATACAGAAATGCCAGGGCATGCCTGACCAAAAAAACCTGGACTCTTTATTATTTTCAGAAAATCCTACTTTTCTGACAAAAAACTCCAAACAGCAAAAAAACTCAACAAAATCCCCAAACAAACCCACATTTATTATCTGCTGCACCATTTAACAAGTTGTAGCTTCAAGTAAAATGTTACACACTGTTCTGTCCAGCATGTACTGAAGTCTAAACAGTAACTTTGAAGAAAATAAGGTCATGATTTATTACATTTGTCTATGCACATGTGGATTTTCATATTCCACAGGTTCAGGAGCCTGACAACAACTTCCAGTTATGTGACAGCTATGTCACCGGTAGAGCATAAAAACCAAGAGTAAATAAATCCCAATGTACCTTAGCCTGACCCTGGAGATATTACCTCTTAATTTAGGAGATAAGATACATAAGCTTTGCTCTCCCTGATCATGTCTTACAAAACACCTTCCAGGTGCTTTTCATTTACTATGTAGAAACTAAATTCCCTAAAGTGACTATATCAAATGATAGTAAAGTTTAGCACTATCAAATGATAGTAAAGTTAATCAGCTTGTACTGGGTTTAAAAGCTGAAAGGTTTTATAACTGCAGAGCCACTTCAGCAGTTCACCAACACAGAATCCACTCTTTTCACTGAAGGAAATTTCTTCTGTTTGCATTCAAACCATTACTAAATGTCACCAGTTTGTGTATTTGTGACAGAGCGACATGCAGGGGGAAAACCAGCAACCTGTGACAGAGCAACTGAGCTGTCAGTCTAGGAATAGCTGTCAGACAGATGATAACCCACAGCAGCTGACTAGGCTGAGTTAATTTTTAAGTTGGCACTATAAAGGATTCACACTGCACTCTGGATATTGTACTTGTCAGAAAGATAAACAAAATCACCAACAGAGCTAATTCAAAGTGCAATGGTTCAAGATATCAGTAGTATTTATGTCAGACTGGTCAAGAGTTTTGCTCCAGAAGTTGACTTCCTGGATCTTGGATGAGTTGGTATTTTGTCCGGCAAGTAACTGCAGAACATCAGGGGAAATGGGAAGTGTCTATCAGTGGCATAACACGATGATACACCTTAACGAAAAAAAAAATCAACCCAATTTATGCTCATTTTGGTCACTATCACTCTCCATGCAAACTTGATTTTTATATTCTTCAAGAACTGTTTGTGGTAACAACTTTCATGGACTCAGAAATTACTTCAAAAGCACATTTTGCAATTTTAAACCTTATTTGAAAGCTTTGTTCACAATTCACTCATTCACTGTAAGTTTAATAGGCATAAAAAGAGTACAAAACATTTAGCTACAGAAGCACTTTCTGCTTCATAGACTGTACAACAACCTAAAAAGGATGCACTGTGTATCCAAGGGTATGGATGTACCAGAGCACACTGGACTTCAATTTACAGGACGCTGCATCTAACACATTCCACATCAAGTTTTTTTTGAGCAAGAAAATTCACCTTTTAAGCATAACTATTATGTGCTTACACATTTCTTGGTCTGCATTAAAGGGGCAAACTGCTCATTGACACCAACATTTCCCCATTTCAGGGGAGCCTTACCTCTCCTCATTGTTTATTATGCTCAGCACTGGATCCACAGACAAAATGCCATACACCTCCAGCACATCGTTGACTTTGAAGCTCTCCCAACTCTCATAGACCTGCCCCAGAGAGAAAAAAAAAAGAAAAGACGCAGATGGGCCACATGCAGGACAGCACACCAGGAAGCTTGCCAGGAGGCTCAGCTGTGGACTGAGAATGGTCTGTGTGAACAGGTCTCTCCTAGCCCTCAGGGTCAGTAAGCTCACACTGGGAAATGAGTTCCTATGATTCCATGCTTTTTCTTTTGGCATTCTTTGCCACACAAATGCAAACAATTGTATTCTAACCTGATTTACCAAGATTTGCTGAATAAGAGAGAAGTCAACACTGACACAGCACAGAAATTGTCAGTTTCCTAGCCAGTATTGCATACTAGTGAATACATTTCAAAGACAATACAAAAATGTGTAGTTTATTGGCATTTTTTTTCAGCTTGTTCCATCACAACTTTTTTCCTTTAGAGATAAATCCTAAAAACAAAATACCAGGACTCAATACCAGCTACATCCTCAGGCATCTAGTGCTGGACTTGTTTTTGAAAACTAAGTGTGGTGAGAAGATGCAAACTGTAACAAATGCTGCTGAAAGATTTCAGCAGTTCCAATGCAGCACTCGAGAAACAGTGTAATGCATAAGAAAAACAAATTATCTCTAGAAACAAAATTCTGGGCTTGAGAGACTATTTCTGTGCCTGTAAACCACCACAAGACTAACTGCTTGCACTCTAACTTGAGATTGTGTGCCTCGCTGAGGCCACAGCCCTGCTCATCACCTTGTATTACCTTTACAAGACATGCTGGTCCTTTCTCTCCTGGCAATGGGAAATTCAGGTCAAGTGGAGGGGAGCAGTTGGGAGAAATGAGATGATGACCTGCAGAAGCTTCTGTTTCTAATCTCTTTGGCTCCACACATCCATGGATATCACCTCCACTGCCTGAAAAATAAAGGATTTGTAGGCTCTTTAAACAGAAATGCAAGAAGTGAACGAGTTCCTTCAGTGAGCAACACAGAATTAAGCTAATTTAACAAGACAGCTAAGACAAAAATATTTAATAATGCAATATACTGGACAGAATATAGGAACTTGGGGCTGTTCAGCCTAGAGAAGAGAAAGTTGTGTGGAGACCTCATAGCAACTTTTCAGTATCTGAAAGGCCTACAAGGAGCTGGAGAGGGACTCTGTGGTAGAAACTGTAGTGACAGGACAAGGGGTAATGGATTCAAACTGAAGTAGGGAA